ATGAAGTTTGATGCGCCGACATATTTTCGCTAAAGGACGACATGAAAATGGTTCGGATCAGACCACTTTTGCGATCACTTCCTATAAGAAACTTTATTTTAAAAAGTCGTTATATGAATAACTGCACTAAGCGAATTGATGTAGGGTATTGGTATTGGTGTGCCGTGCCCCACTGTAGTGTTTCTAGTTGGAAAGACTTTACAACTCTTTCAAATCTAATGTTTTTTTTTTGTTTTTTTTTTGAATTTTACGTAACACAAGTGCTTGTTAAGATGATATTTTTCACGAGTCATGATTGCTTTCTACTCTTTTCAGGTAAATTAAATACTTTTCAAAGATTTGTTTTTTCGTTTTTGTCATTTTTTTTTTAATTTTAATTTTTTCCATAAAACCATAATAAAGTGCCAAGTTGCTAAAGTGTAAAAAAAAAATAAATAAATAAATAAGAAAAGAAATTATGTTTTTTCTTAAGTAAAACAAACATACATCAAACCTCACTTGAAATGGTACACTCGCTTTAAATGAAAATATAAATGTTTCCTATATTTGTTTGTGTTTTTATAGTAATTAATAAATATTATTTTTTTTTTTATTTCTTTCATATCTAAATTAAGTGTAAAATGAAACTAAAAGGAAAGTAAATATGAAAATAAACAAATTCTTTTTCTAAACATTTTGTGATATTCAAAATTTTATTTAACTTTTTTTTTTTTTTTTTTGGCCTTAAAAGAAAATTTCTTAATTACAAAAAGAAAAAAAATGTAATTATATGTGATATATATGTTCGGAAAAATGTTATTAAGAACAAAAACAAATCACGTTAAGAAGTGAAAAAATTATTAATCGCTTTAGGCGATTCTTGGATACCCACCACCCACCACCACAAGTAAACATATCAAAATTACCAAACTTTTGTCTTAGTTCGGGCGTGTCAACGACTGGCCAATCGACAATGCTTTCAAAAAGAAATGTTTATAGTAACAGAAACGGTTTCGGGCCTTTACCCCTGTAGTCATTCTAACTTCTTCAAACAATCTATTCAGTATCTTTAGTTTTTTGCTATGCTTCCCGCTCACAGAGAGCCTTTGGGGAAGTGACGATTCCTGAAGAGAGACCGTAGATGTATTAATGGAAAATTTAAAGACAATATCTGCCGTAAATCCCAAGATATTGAAAAATTTCTTTTCTTCACCGTTTTTGTTTTCATTTTTCTTGAACTCACTTTTGAATCAATATTTTGTAACTTAAGTTCTCCCTTTTGATGGCCTCTATTGATGGCATGAGGCTAACGGACGGATGGACAGACGGACATGACTGAAATATTTTGGAATCATTGTCTGATCAAATATAAATATGTCTGTAATAAATCTGCTTCTCTCTCGTATCAATCGGGCGTGGGTATAAAATTAAAATTTTTATTTTAAAAAAGTTTTTTTCAAAATTTTTCAAAGTTTGGCATAAAATTTATCCACAAAATGTATTTAAAAAAAGAACAAAAAAAAAAATTATTTAACACAAAATTTATTCGTAAAATTTTTTAAAATGGCCTCCAATTTTTGCTCATAATGTGACTTTTAACCTATGTTAATTGTATATATCAAAATTAATTTGTAAAATAAAAAATAAAAAAAACCTTTCTTTAATTTTTCAATTTTTCAAACAAATTCTATATATTTAATATATATGTACCAAAAAAAAAAAAAAAACAAAAAAATTATAATAAAAATAAAAAATGTAATAAATATTAAAAAAAAAAAAATTTATACTCGAACTTTCTATAATTTTTTATTTTTTTTTTATTTTTAAAGAGTTCTTTTCAAAAAAGAAAGCGTACGAGAAATTCACTACAATTAAAACTTCATAAAATTACCTAAAAACATACACATAAAACTAAAAAAAAAAATAAAAAATTCAATATGAAAGAAGGATATAAAATGAAAAGAAATGAAAGCGAGAGAGAGAGAGAGAGAGAGACAAGCTTACGTTCGTCTGAGGCCGAATCTTGAATACTCAACGCTTTAAGCGCACGTCTCGATTATAAAAAAATTTCTTAAGAGATTTTTGTTCATGGAACTGATCGGCAAGCCGAACGATGACCTATTAATCCAAACCGGCGCAGAGATAAAATTGGATGAAAATCTGATTGCACGAATGCATACTTCCCATTTCTTGTGCTTATGTGGCATTGTGGCTGTACATGTCCATGATTTATGAATACATTGGTGATACACGTTCACTTATGATATATGTCGCTTCATATTTCTTCTAAAAAATTTGAATTGTTATTATATCAAAATTCGTTGTCATTAACGCGCAAGTGAACTTGAACTTGACATGCTCTGAAAGGGTGGGTCCTTGCTACCTTGCCTGTCTACCGCTTCAAGTGTATCAATCTCTTTCTTGTTTAATCTTTAGAATTGAAAAAAGAATTCGTGTTCCGGATAGATGGACATGCAAAGCTGACTTCCGTAGATCCGTATACCTGTTTCAAAAGTCGCTAGCAATATATGTATAGATGATGATATTGTTAGTCAATTGCAAACTTAGTCTTCCTTCAGTGATGGGTATAAAAATGCGTTTGGTGATTGATTTCCTGTCTTTTCAAAATTGTAGTGAAATACATTTTAGGTAATAATTGAATAATTTTTATTTTTTGTTTTTTCTTTACTTTATTATTTTCGCCTTATTTTATTTCTTCTTCAATAAACCAACACACACCTAAAATAATTGTAACAACAGCAAAGAAAAAAAAAAAAAAAAAAAAAAAAAGATAAAAAATTAATCAAACTTAACTTAAATAACCGCTTGACTTATTACACCAGACATATATACTTTTTTTCCTGTATTAAACATACATATGTGCACATCAAGATGTAAACGGTTTATATCCTCGTCATTTTTTACACTTATGTATATGTACGTGCAGTGAAGCCAAATATATCCCTAGAATAAAATAGAAAAAAAAAAGGAAAAAATGGAAATGGAAAACCAACTAAAAAAACTTGAAAACTATTAAGTGTAGAAATTTTACTTAAACCCGCTAGTCCATAATTAAGATGAAATACATTCACAAAAGTTTATATAATAAACACACGCATCGTTTATCTTTATCTTATCTTTTCCTTTAAATTTTATCTAAATAATTATACATATAAGAATAAACCCATCTCTCCATTTTCAAATCAAATGGAGCGATTTTCGCAAGCAGCTCAATAAATAAATATCAAATCAAAAAAAAAAAAAAAAAAAAAAAAAAAATCAGAAACTTATTAAATTTATTTTAAAAAAAATGTATATATTACAAATTTTTTTTCTTTCACTGAATAAATCTTCTAACACAGATTATCACAGAAACTGAAAGCCCTAGAGTTGGAAGCACAATTCCTATTAGTATTTACTTTCTTTTACTCAGTCATTTATTTATTTTTTTTTGTTTTACTTTTTTTTGTAAATTCTCTGGAAATCCTTTTCTAAGTAAAAATTTCACAGCCCATCTATATAAAAGCGTAAGTATCCGGCGATTTTAAAATTTGAACTAAAGTAAGTAAAATAATATATATATCGAGAGAACTACATGTAAGTAAACTGAAAAGAGCGCATAAAAATTGAAAAATTTAATAAAAATTCCACGCTATAAAACTTCCCGGTTCATTTGCTCCTTTCTCCTTTCTTTTTGAACGCATTAAGATAAAAATGGCCACTGTAGCCGTTGCTGAAGATATAGTTGCCCATCATATTATGCCCCAGGTGGATGATTTATCTCTCGGGACCGCAAAAAAAAAAAAATATTCACATTAGGCATGAGCTGCGGCCCTTGTGTCTCCACTTCTCCATTCTCTCCATTCCCTTTGCATAATTTCTAGCTTTTAAATAGAACCGAAGCAAAAATGCAAAGAACGCTACGAATCTGAAATTTGGAAATCAGCTCATCTAAAAAATTCTATAATTGAAAAAAAGATTGATATTCATAAGATGATCAGGTTGTGTGTGTGTGTGTGTACAATTGTGAAATCAATTGGAGCAACGATTCGAACTTGATTAAATGAGCTTATGATTCAAAAATTCCGGTAAATTTGCATCAACTTCGCTCAATTTCACTAATTGTATCATGATGCCTTCATTTGAAAATGCTATATAAGGCATCCTATAAAAGACAGAAAGTAATTTAACAATTGTCAATGAGAAAATGATCGAACTCTTATGAATATAATATTCTTTCTTGCTATTCTCATCTCTGCAATAAGGAAATCCATAACAGAGAATTTCAAATTATGCTTGTTCTTATTTGCAGGAAACTCTTACTCAACGGAACCATTCCATCAATTTTCCTTTAAAACGTATCGTCCACCCACATAATTGACCCAAATAAAAACTGAATTAATCTTAAAATCATTTATAGAATACCAGAAATGAATCGACCAAACCATTTAGTTAATCAAAAATAAAAAAAGGAAATAAAAACTTGAAAAGCTCAATCTAATGTACTTTTTGGAGAATGCGCTGCCTGTAACTTAATGCTACTCACGTAGAACGTGAGTAGCGATTTAACCATTTAATAAAAATATTGACTCTGTATATATTATTTCACCAACAACATGGTGTAATCAAATAATCGTTCAAATCAAATTCATTTCCGTTTACATTTCAACCTAACGTCTTTATCGATAACTTTATATCTTTTACTTATGTTTATACGAAAGCATGAATGATTGTATGTATTAGTATCTATCATATCGTATAGTAATTTATCCTTAAACACCTTGTGATATTTATTTATTGTACCCGAAACGAATTTCGTTAACTGAGGTAATCATATATCTTTAGATTTGCATTAAATTTTTGATATTGGCAACTCTACACTTTGACAATTTCACAAGAAAACGCAAACAAAGAGAAACAAGCGAAATAAACTAATTGGGCAGAAGTATAGTTGAGAACAAAAAGTATTAATAAATGATTTATATATAGAGTTAGTAAAAAAGAAAAATAAAAAAAAAAAACTTTTGCACACACTTCGAAAACATTGAAAATAGAGAAAAACTATGTAAAAGCATCGATGAAATGCTGTTTGTAAATATACAAAAGTGAGCGTAACGAGCAATTACACTCGATGTAGTGTATAGCATAGAAAAAAAAAAAAGTAAAAAAAATAAGATAAAAAAGAGAAAAAAAAAAAAGAAAGGAAAATCAAAGTGGTGTTAGCCACAGTGAAAAGGGTCGGAGCGCTAGTGCATTTTGTGCCATTTTTTCAGCGCATCAATATAAAGCGAATTATAAAAAGGAAAGAGAAGAATACAAAATAAATCGCTAGCGGACGTGAGAAAATCCAATTTTTCCAATTTCCATTGTGGATTTCGTACGAAAGGAAAGCTTTTTAGCGCGTAAATCCACTTTTTTACATATTTTCTTTTTCTTCCTTATCGTCATTAATAAATTGTAAGTATGTATCGTATTCCCTAAAATATATACATACGCATATATACCTACACATTCATTACCACCCCAAACTTTAACTACACACAATTTTCACCCACATTCATATACATATACATGTATAGTTTTAATCATCAAACGCGTTAAGAGTATCTAAAATTAAATACATACGTATGTAATAAATGTAACACATTAAAATGTATATTTATATTATTTAGAAAGCGCGGGAACATATAACACTATAAGTTCAATTTCTTTTTTTATATTCAATTGCATACACAAGCATGCACATGTGCAAATACAAAATTGAATGCCACTAGAATTTGCTTTATACGATATTTTTTGTATCCACCGTATGTGATATTGCGTTGGTAAAATGCTTATAACAGCGCAGTTTGAATAGAATATAAACACTTTTGATCAAACGGAATTGTACATAATTGGGTGTGTGTGTGTGTGCATGGTTAAATTCCAATTAGAAGTTTAAAACTAACATAATATCCTAGGAGTGTGAAGGTCTCTTTTTTTATTTCTTTATTTTTTATTATTACTCTCCACTCAGAATAGTTACACGAATCGACAGACCTGTGGGTCTACCTATAATGAAGAAAGAACCATGAGTTGGATAAAGATGTGAAATTAACTTATTTACCTGCCTTGTTTATGTACTAACAAATTGTAAACGACTGAATCTTCCTTACATATACGTTCCTATAGATGTACTAGATTGTGATAGACATTAAAAAATTTGCCCCAAAGTGAGTATCTTTCGTTTATCTTCTAAAACATATCACCAAAGGATTCAATGCATTAGATATGTCCTTCTGCTTACAGTTAAGACTGCGAAATGCATAGATGCTCATTACATACATGACATACACTTTTGATCATAGTAGGAATCTTAGCACATTTAATTCTCTTACTTGAAGTTAGTTGCGGTGACAAAGACTGAAATATATAATGTTTAAACTAGCCGTCGTTGATGGCCATGCAACAGGATAACAATAGTAGGGAAACCTTTTTCCATATAATTTGTAAAAAATATTAAATTAAAACTTCACTAAAAAATTATGTTTATTTAAAGGTCGAGTCCAGAAAACTTCTTTTGATCACAACTGATGCATTCGCAATTCATTACATATTTTCCAATTGCTAGGCATTAACTTCAGGTGATAGGTTTGAAAAATTGAAATTTTAAATGGATTTTTAAGTAAAAGTGATCAGGAGCTAAATATAAAGTAAAAACAATTTCGTTTTATTTGGAAGAATTAAATGATGGAAATTAAACACTGTCATGGACCAACCAACTATTAAAAAATTGCATATTTTTTCATATATAAATAATTACTTCTCGTATGTTCAAAAGAACTGTCCCATCTGATCTATATTTATACGATACACCATTTGTGATACAGGTTTCATTAAGTTAGTGGTTTTATTAGTTAGTAGGATCCACAAAGACTTAGGGTAAGCCCATCCATCAGGATCATTTTCTAAATCGATATAAGCTTGTCTGTCCGTCTTTCCGTATTCAAGTTGCAGCTGCAATATTTTGATGAAATTTGGTACACTGATGTACTTTGGTCCAAGGGTGAACGCTATTGAAAATGGTTTGTATCCACTTTTTCGGCCACTTCCCATAGAACGCCCTATTCTGAAAAGTCGTTATATGGAAAAAAAAATGCAAAGTTCATAATTTCTCGGCAAAAATGGCTAAGTAATAGTATTTAGGCATTATAAATTGATGTGAAATGTTCGCACCGTCTGGGGCAATTTTCCGAACACCCTCTTATATAACCACTTCTGCCGAAACTAAAGCTTTAAATGATAAAAAGGTCAAATATCCAAAATTTCATAGTGAAAAGTAACTCATACGAGTAAATTGGCAAAGAAATCTACCTCATAGGATTTCGACCTCGTAGGTCTATATAAAGGATTCTCACGAAACGTATATGCCTTATATGCCAAAAAAGCCTAATTGCTATTTATTTTTTTTTTTTGTAATGAAAATTTGCTCATGATAACAATTAAATGAAAAAATTACACGAACCCCATTTGAACCATGCGGATCTACTTCTTCTTCCACTTCACAAAAAATATCTGGTAACATCTTAATAATTCATAGGAGCGTTTCAGCAAAAAGAATTAACGGTATACAATACGGATCACATAGGTCTATATAGGCGTTATTACGAAAGGCGAACTCTTATATGCAGAAAAAGTCTATCCTTGAAATATGCGGACTTTCATGACAATTATGGCTTTGCATGAAAACATTGTGTACTTTTCATGTGTAAACAATGCTATATTATCATCAAAACGAGCAAATAATTCTGTTAGGCGAAGTAATGTAGTCGTCGGCCGGCTATATAATCTTGCTTGTTTTAACATCATTTTAAAATGCCGAAACACTTAGCGTTTGTTGCTTAGTGTTTGTTTTAAAGTTTTTGCAGTTGTTTCTTATATAACTAGTTCGTAAGGAGAATGATCGCAAAGATGAGTCGATCCAATCAATTTTCAGTAGACTTCTACCGTGAGTCAGAACACGTTAGTGCAGCAAATTTCGTTAAAAAAATATCTAAAAAATTAGAGTAAGTTAATTGCAAACGTAAGACAGACAGATTTAAATCGATTCGGATAATAATTCTGATAAAACGAGGTTAGGTTGACTTTCGATCATGTAAGAATTAAGTTTCTTGCTTTAAAGTGCTATAGAGAGGACACATAATCAGATTTGTTAACGAATTGTTGTTTATAATGATCCCTGAGGCGAAATAAATATGATCACATGAGTAAGCTGTTACTAAAAGGCAACGTACACATTAGCACACACTCTTTGACCGAAGTGTAACATAGTTAATATAAAGTATATCTAGAGAGTAAATTTTAGATAATAGAATAAGCATAACAAGAACGGTAATAAAGTGTAGGATCATCATCCAAGATTTTTACAAAAAACCTTTAGGTAACTTTTCGCTAAATGTGAACATAGGTGAAAAGAAAATTCCAGAAGAAAAATCGAGAACGCTATTGCAAGAGACTGACTCGCTCTATAAGCTTATCGCGCTCCCAATAGCGCGATTTGAGAACTACTGCCTCTCGGAAAATATTTATTAAAAATATAAAAAAAATAATTTTTGCGTTTCTTTCGCTGTAGCGCTAAAGAAACTTGAAGATAAATCAAACTTGTTTAATGCATTTTCATTGTCTTGATAGAAACGTAAACAACAACAAACGAATAAATAATTCGATTATATCGTGAAAGAGATGTGCGGCGGTTTAGATCCATTTTATCTCTCTTAGAGCGTGCAAATCAAGCGGAAAATGTAAACAAAAATAATTATATCTCTGCGTTGTCTCTTGTTGTTTCTTTCCAATCAAGTAAATAATTTTCAATAGATTATTATTTGAATGAATAAATGAATGAATGAATAAATGTATATTTGGAAAATTCATTTTAGTTGTTTTTTTTTTTTTTTTTTTTTTTTTTTATATAGCTTCTTTAGAGCTCAAAGATCGGCATCGTTTTTAGGAATAGCAAAAGATATTGAGAGCATAGTTATATAGTTTTATAGCGGCCGCCAGTACATTGGGCTTCGTAAAGCACATAAGATGCTAGCGTTGTAAAGCGCGCGCTATATTGAAAAACAAAAAACTTATTTTTAGAATTATCGCGCACATGTAGAGAAATAAAAATCGGATTTCTACTTAAAATTCCTTAATATAAATAGGTTAACATTTAAATTAATAAAAAAAAAAATAAAAATAAAAATAAAAACAAAAAAAAAATACGTGATTTTAATTAAATTTATATACATATTTGCATATAAAACAAAAAATATATTTGAAAAAGAAATTTCGAAATTTTTATTCAGACAAAGTGTCTGCTGGTGGTCAACCTTATATAATACGTGATAATTGTTATCCATGCTGTGAAAAGATAATAATGGTAAAATCACAGAAAAATTCTCAGCGCAATAGTCGTGCCGGCTCGCCAAATTCATCCTCGACGCCTAGTAATCAACCACGTAAACGTTTTAAACGTTGTTGTCGCAATTTTGTAACATTTATGTGCACTCAAGTCGGTGTCGGCGCGTTAATCGTATTTTATGCCATTTGCGGTGCCCTATCATTCCAATATATCGAATGCCAATATAAGGATAAAACCGCCGCGGAAATGATAGAGCTACGGCACAGTTGTTCACAAGAATTATGGATTATTACCGAAAAATTCAATACATTCGATAAACCGCAATGGGTTAATGATACAGATATGGTATTGCGGCAATATCAATTGCAACTTGTTGCCCTTATTAAACGAGGCTATGGTGGTAGAACACCGCAACAAATTTGGTCTTTTCCCGCTGCCCTAATGTTTTGTCTATCGGTCATTACAATGATAGGTTATGGCAATATGGTACCACGTACGCCATGGGGTAAAGGTTTCACAGTTATTTACGCAACATTTGGTATACCATTGTATATATTGTATTTTCTGAATATGGGCAAAGTGTTGGCGCGTTCCTTCAAATTCCTTTATCGCAGTTTGCACGAATGCACACAAGATCGTTCAATCGATAATCGTTTGGATGCGTTAGAAAGTGGCATGCAGCGCAAGAAAATCATTGTGCCATCGACGGCTTGCTTATGGGTTATTATATTTTACATATTAACCGGTACGATAATGTTTGCCAATTGGGAGAAATGGTCGTTTTTAAATTCGTTTTATTTTTGCATGACTTCGTTGTGTAAAATTGGTTTCGGTGATTTTGTACCGGGCGCTTCGTTAGTTACGCCATCCGATATTAACGCTGCAACGCAAAAAATGAAAGAAGATTCCACAGCCGATCTAAACGAAGTTTCCGAATTGCAATTGATTACCGATCAGAATTCGAAATTGGCGATTAATTTTATTTATATGCTGATTGGTATGGGCTTAGTAGCCATGTGTTATAATCTAATGCGTGAAGAGGTGCGTGTTAAACTTAAAGAAATGAAAGAAGACACTAAACTATGTTTAGAAGATACTCGTACACGATTCGTAGGTTGTTGTGGTCAACGGAATTCCCGTGAAGATGATTACTATTAATAACAAGTGTTAGAGAAGTTTTTTTTTTTTTTTTTTCCATTTAATTATAAACAAAAGAAATAAACAAAAAAAAAAAAAATAATAATAATAATTTTCTATAAAATCCAAATAAGTGTAAAAAATAAATTAAAAAAATAAAAAGTTTCTGTGCATTTTTATCCATTACGTTGCATATAATTAAAATTTCCGTTATTAATATATATATAAATATTCAATCAGCCGTTGATTAGTGTACTCATCGATATAAAGAAAAATAATTAAATCGCTATAATATTTATTGCTATCATTGATCGGAACAAACATAAATATGTGTTCATAAGTGCGTATTTTGTGTGTATGCAGTGTGCGTGTGTGTATGTATGTGTGTGTAGAAAATATATTTACAATACAGGAGTAGTGATAAGAGCACTTGTAAATACTCTATAGAACGATTATTGCTGCTGCTATTGTTGTTGTTGTTGTTGTTGTTCTTGTATATTGCAAAATGAAGCTACCATCAGTGAATATAAGTCGAATAAGGTGCGTGTATGTAGTATTTATTTAGTCTTTGGCTATCAAAATGTAGACGATTATGCGATGAAAAGTGCAATCGTATAAGACTCAGATTTCTATTTAATTAGGACGCAAAAAAAAAAAATATAATTGGAAAGTAGAATCGGGAGAGAGAGAGAGAGAAAGAGAGAGAAATAAAGAGGGCTATTTTCTCCTTTTTTCGTTGGTCTCCAATGTGGATTCATACAAAAAAAAATATATACAGACTTGATCAAATTATTACGTGTAGCTCAGTTCCGTCCCCATATTTCGCTGATATGCACAAGTCCAAATGTTATGGTCAGAGAAGGCGGACTGATTGTTAAACATCCGACACCACTTCGCCAAAGATTGCTCTTTACGTATCTTCGCCATAAAACATCGAAAATTATATCTTATCCCTTATATATAAGAAGGGATACCAAAGCGTACTAGTCCAAGCGTGCTAAGGCGAATTAATTTCCCAGCTTCCAATTTTGGACTGATTTTCATTACAAAATAATAAAAGCGGGACTTGGACGCTTCATAAATGAAATTCATTTAATAAGCCAAAAGTCTACTTATTTCCTACCAGCACTACAGCAGTACAGGTCATATTAAATTTGTGCAAACGTATGTAAAAAACACAAAAAGACTTCGGGTGAACAATTCTTAACAAATAGATTGATTCAGAAGAAAAGGCTTACAAATTGTTTTAAGCATGTCCGTCCGTACTACCGTCTAATATCCGCCCTTGTACACGTCATATGCTACCTTTTTAAACATTTTGATGCAAATGTGGTACACTGTCGAAAATGTTACTGAAACTGGGTGGCGATCCGTTTCCAAAAAAAAAAACTACTCCATAAAAACTTTCTTACCAAACCGAAGCATTTATACGAGAAGAAGGTCGAACAATATAATATAGATATTGAGAAGAAGAAGAAACAGTACCAACCTACACCCTGTAAAAATAGTTACGCTCTCTCTCTCTCTTGAAAGATTTTCAATGTTAATGCAGACTCCTAATAATTTCAAGATTTATAAAAAAATATGAAAAGTTGGTCTAAGATATTAATATAAATTTCAAAACAACAAACTTGAAAAATTTGATTTGAAGATTTTAGAATCAAATCGGTAGATATGTATGCTTGAACGTCAAGGTTGAATTTCGAAATTCTTGTTTCAGGGTAAAATTGGAAATATTTTTTCAACTGCGCGAACGATTCACGAACTTTGAGGTAATGCTTGGTGGCAGTTCTGATCGTTTATGCACACCAAGCACATCGGCTGGTCCGTTTCGAATATTTTCTGTAGCTGGCTTTCAAAATCGAGCCAATGATATTGTCTATTGCCCACCAATCATCAGACAACCAACGCAAAATGTTGAAGATTCAACAGCTGTTGTTTATTTCGGCGGTGATGTTCAGGTAAAATTATTTATTGTTTTTTTTTTTTTTTATTATTTGATTATTTGATGATTTGTGTTGTCGTCACATTTTTTTTTTTTAATTTATAATAAATTCTAGGATTTTCCGGAAAGCATGGAAACAAATCGCGATAGTCGCGGTTACATGAAATATAATTTAGAGAATTCAGCCATACTCTTGCGTGAAGCATTTCCAAGGTCTCATATTATAGTTGTTCGTCCAGTAAGGTTAGTATACATATATATATATATATATATATGAATTTCTTTACAATAAATTTCAATTCTGTTTATATTTACATACATATCATTGCAGAATGGAATTCAAGACGTTTAGTTGTTTTGATAATTTTGTACGCGGCAATAACGCGGGTGTGCCAGATCACACGCCTATGAATCATGCATTGCAGCATTTGGAAAAGTATTGAGAAATATGATTTTGTGAAAGAAAAATCTTTTCAAAATTTCAAAATTTGTTTTTCATTGTTAGATTACTGCAAAATTTATCGCAACGGTTAATATCGATACCCGAGAATGAGATATTGCATCAAGCCGCTCAAGCGGCTGCCGCCGCTGCCGCTGTGGCTGCGGCCGCGGCTGCTGCTGCCCTGGTTTCGTCAACTCTAACAAACGCTAGTACAGATACTTCCTCCACGTCTTCTACGAATACTTGTGATAGTAATCAAGAAATGGATATAGATATATTACAAGTAATTACCTTTTTTTTATTTTTTTTTTTTTAATCATTATAATATAATCACGCTTTACACGTCTTTTTCAGGTTCAGGAAAATGTAACAGTTGACGCTGATGGCGCTGTTGTCTTTTCACCGGCTTCAACAGGTGGCAATAGAGGTTCGAATAGTGAATCCGTTCAATCGTCGACTGATGCTGATGCTTTAGTTGCTGCGCAAGCAACAGCCACCACCGCTGCTGCAACCAATGCAGGTCAACAACAAAATGTTACTCAGCCAAACAATGATAATATACAACATTTTAATAGTACTAACAATGAGCCTTTAACAGCACAGTCTCAGCAAGTGCAACAACAATCATCATCATCATCATCGTCATCATCATCATCATCTGCCATAGCGAATAATCATCACCAGCAATGCAATCAAACGAACAATAATCCTTTGTGGTGGCGTGAAAATCTAAACTTGGACAAATCCAAATTAATATTGATTGGTTTCAGCAAGGGTTGTGTCGTTCTCAATCAAGTGAGTCTGCAAAACAAAAATAAACGGTGTAAAAATCGTTACAAGTTTCACAAAATTTTTCCATTTTCCATTTTATATCCACCGCATCAAATATATATAGTAAACCATTTAAAGGTTTGAATGATCGAAGTTTATTATTGTTGATATGTCCGCGTCCGAATGCATGCATGTATAGAAAGAACACTGTATTTAATAATAAATTCTTCCGTTTCCTAGTCGTTGCGTTAAATTCTGTAAATCAACTGAAGAAAACCAAGCTCCTTAATATTATTTTCATTAATGTTGTGTTCCTAATGCATTACATTAGTCCGTCTATCCATCAAGGATTACTCGTAATTTACTTATGTCACGTGGGAAGTTCCCTAAAGAAAGCTTTCTCAACATTATACCGCAACCAACCAAATTATAATTGTGCAAGGTGTTTGATGAAACACCTCGTGGTGGTTATAAAAAGATTCGGTTTTCATACGAATTTTATTTTATTTTTGATGTTTTACAGCAACTTATAAAGTGTAACGATAATAATAATTTTCATTGCAGTTTATTTATGAGTTTCATTACTTGAAAACTTTGACACCCGATGACAGTACAATGATACGTTTATTGTCACGTATAAAAGACATGTACTGGCTGGATGGCGGTCATGGCGGCCAGAAAAACACATGGATAACATCGAGAAGTCTGTTGGAGACTTTAACTAGAATAGGTCGGTAAACAATATTTTTTGTTTTTAATTTAATTATTGAGATTTGAATTTCTTTGTTTTTTTTTTTTTGTTTTTCGAGGTATGAATATTCATGTTCATTTAACACCGTATCAAGTGCAAGATGATCGTCGTCCTTGGATACGTAAAGAAGAAAAGATTTTTACTGATCTTTTAAGACGTTTAGGTGCTAATATAACGCGTCATTTACATTATGACAGTCAAACGGCCAATTTAATGACACATTTTGAGGTCTTGCAGGCCTTCTGTCAGCATATACATAATCAAAATCAACAGCAACAACAACAGCAGCAGCAACCGCAATCAACAGGACAGCAATCACAGCAAACGCAGCAGCAGCAGCAGCAACAGCAACAGCAGCAACAGCAGCAACACCAAACAAGTCAAAGCTCCTCTTCGCCAGCGCAGAATGCACAGAATAACGAAAAACATCAACAGACAGCAATAGTACGCGAAGAAAAGTGACATCATCACCATCATCATCATCATAGGAAACGTTCCAATCATCATCATCACCATCATCATCATCATAATTTTCATCATCATCATCATCATCACGGTAAGGCGGGTCAAAAGCAAAAGCCATCTCGCCATCAAAAGCAACAACAAAAACATCATATGCTGCAATATGTAGCTGCTGCTGCTGCTGCTTCGGCAGCGACAAACACAGTAACACCTACCAGTTTGGCAGCAGCAGCAGCTGCTTTAATTTCCACTTCAACTGTAGCAGCTGTTGCGGCGTCTGCTGCATCTGCGCCTAGCGCATCTTTTTCAACTGCTGCTGCTGTCACCTCGATTGTAAATAATCATCAAACTCATTTTTTTCACTACCAGAACTCGCAACGCTATCGCTACAATAACAACATAATAATACATAGCCAACAATTACAGCAACAGCAACAGCAGCAGCATCAACAACAACAACAACATCAATATTTAATACCACAATTAGCAACATCAATAACCGCAGGCGTAACAGCTACGACAGCTACCAATATAACGCATACGCACAACATGAACAGCAATCATAATCCAAATAATCATCATCAATGCAAATCGAGACGCAAATTACAGAAATTGTATTATACACTATGCCGATAAAGTTGTCGTCTTTTATAGAACCTCGTATTGCTTCGATGCTTATTACTGCAAGTTTAAAACTGTTGACAAACGGTTCGTATGCTTGCTTGTTGTGTGAAATCAAGGTGTGTATTCATTCATTCTTCTTTCTTTCTTTTTTTTTTTTTTTGTTTTCCTTTTTTTTTTCATTTTTTTTTTCATTTTTTTTTTATTAGTTTTTATTCCAGTGCAATACATAATAAGATTTCCTATGAAAGCAAGACTAATTTAATTAATTTTTTTAACCAAATTATGAAAATTAATTTATTAATCTCCTAAGCATATATATCTTTCGATGAAAGTGTTCGCAGAAAATGTGAGCATTTCGTAAATATTCTCGAATCGGGCATCATTTTTCCATAAATTAAATTTAATTAAAAAATCAATTAATCGCTTTATAATACAAACATAACGTAAAGTAAGAAATATCCCTTGACAAGCTATATATGATATATAGCAATTATAAACAAGTTCAGAAAATTAATGCAAAGCAGACGTAGGTATTGTTAACAAAAATTATTTTACCTTTATTAGAACAATGTCCTTTTTAAGCTTAATATATTTATATATATATATATATTACTGCAATTTTCATCGCTGAAAGACTTTCTACAGTTTCGGTAAACACGCAAAGGATTATAGCCTAAGGAAGGGAAATCTGATGAATACAATGAAATAGTTAAGAGAATAGAACTCGCAAAGAGGAACCTTCTCTAAGAGTCACTGCTCTCACTATTTTGATGCAAAATTTCTTTAATCACAATTCAAGCCAAATCGTAGCAATTGAATTTTCGCCTCAAATTATGTCCAATATTTTTTCTTCCCAATTTGAATGCAATCAGCCATTAAGCAAACATCTTTTGTATCTTTGAAATGCCCCTGAACAATTGCCCCGGCAATAATTTACAATATATTTTATAAGAATTTTTCAAGCAGTAAGTAAGACCACTGTACGTTTTACGAAAAACAAATATTTCTTAATAAAATCAAAAAGACAATTATGAATGTGGAAAAAGGTTTATTTAGATGGTGGAAAAATTAGATATGACCAGTATACGAATCGTGAGACATTAAATGTGTTTGAAAACGGCCAACAACCATAGTTCAGATAATTTCCATTTTTCCCATTCAAATGTTTTACAAGTTTTCTTAAAACAATATCATAGGATATTTTCGATAAATTATTTTTCAAACATTTTCTGTTAACAAAAGAGCGAGATCAACAACAATATAACTAAAAAAATCGTAAGTTTTTCTCTAGATAATAAGTTTGTAAGATAAATTTGTACGTTTTTTTGGTTTTTTTTTTTTTTTCAATTAAAGTGTGGACCATAGGTAGTTATATTACATGCCGTAGGACTACTTAAATTAATAATAAGTAGTGACCTTTACTTCCATTCAAAACTAAACGTAGATTTTTTTTTTTTTTTGTAAGCTTTGGAGTGGGATGGTCATCGAGGCCAATAACTTCAATCTTGGACCGTTTGTTGTTTACGATATTATTGAAAGTTTTGCTGAAACTTCCCTTAGATTTATCCACAAAACTAACGAAAAGTATTTAGAACGCCTAAGGGCAATAGCTGTTACGACCGGGATTATCCCGGATCTAAAATAAATTGGGAAGCATGTAGATAGGTTCAGGCAATCAAAGAGAAATGCTGATGACATTTCATGTTTGTATTGAAATATTCGTGATATTTATTACATTATTGTCGCTACAGTAAGTTTCCTAAAAGTTAAGACATATCGGTTACTATCGCAATATTCTGTTCCTTGCCTTATGTTCGATTTAGAAACATAGACATTATTAGATGTCAGTCAGTAAGACATTTATCGGTAATTGTTGGTCAGGCGGTTCTTCAATAAAATGTAAGAGGAAAGTGGAATGAGGGAACACCGATCGTATAACTGCAAAAGTGTAGATCTTCTCGCAAAGATATTTGTTGTTTACCTTTACAAATTTTTATTTTTATATAACATTTATATAAAATTCTTTTCGCCAACATATATATGAAGCTTTTCTTATTTATCACTTGATCGTTATTCTCTCTCATTCGTTAAAAACTAAACTTATTTTCGAATTAAGAATGAAAGTATTTATGATCTTAATTGATTTCGAACATTTCTTACTTTATGTTATGTATAAATTAGTTAAAAGATTTTTTATATTAAATGTGATTTACTTACATCTTTTTTCCCCTTCATTGATTGAACGGAGAAGGGATAATTTATTAAAAACATTTCATCTATTTATCTATCTGCCTTCTGACTGTAAACTTATTTTAGTTTGTAATTATCATTGAAATATTTCATAAAAACTTTCGCGTAATGAATGAAAGTGCGTTTTTCTTTTTTCTCGTTGCTCAATCCCCCTATTGTGTATTTAAAGAATTTTTCTATACTTAAAGCATAAATAAATAAATAAATGTTGTAGAACTTGCAAAGCATCAATAGAAAGAAACGTATTTGAAAAACAAAAATGTTTTAACAAAAAGAAACAAAAAAAAAAAACAAAAACACAAAAATTAGAAAAACACCAGTTTTTAATATTTTAAGGTACTTCATTATTATTATGTTGCAATCCACTTACATAACTTTCCTATGTAACTCGCGACGCGGCGCACAAATGTTTTATTTCAATTTTTAAAGCAAAACAAACAACAAAAAATACACATATTAAAGTAAGAAAAAAAGTGTACGCCACAAAGAACCATAAAAAAAAAAAAACTATTCATAAACATAAATATGTTCTTAAGTATTAAATAGATTTTAAGTAAACAAAGGCAAAAAAAAAAAATAAATAATTAAATAAATAAATAAAAAATAAATAATAAAAATTATGAAGAAAGAAATTCAAAGTTTGAGAACAATGTTTCAGAACATTGTCGCTTGCTCTCTATCATCTCTCTTCTCCTATTCTTCAAATCGAAAAAAGAAAAAACAAAAAAAAAAAGCCGAAATTGCACTTCTTTGCAAGTACGGTGTATATGTGTGTATGTGTGTGTGTGTGTGTATTAAATCCTCTCTATCGCAAAATCCCATCACACTGAATCTTTTCATAATTTTGACGTTAAAAAAATATATGTAACAAAAAAGCAAAAAATTAAGAATAATACGAAAAATAAAGAAAACAACAACAATAACAAAAAAAGAAAGCAAAAAAAAAATAATAAACTTTAAAAGTACCTTTTTCGACTTAGCAGTTCAAAATTGCATTAAAGCGTTTCATACTCATGTCACGAACATTTATTTACATCCGGAATAAATTAAAAAAAAGAAAAACAAAAAAAAAACGAAAACATTTAATATCTATCATACATACAATTACAAGAAATAAAAATTTATTTGCAGTATTTAAAAAAAAAAAAATTATCAAAAAGAAAAAATTAATTTAAAATTTTTTTTCAATTTTTGTGTATTTAAACAAATTTATATATAATTTCTAAGAACCTCGATTTCGTATTCTACAGTAATTCAAACAATTATTGATTTATTTATATTTATTTTTATGAGAAAACGTAACAAAATTTAAAAAAAACAAAAAAAAAAAAACAGAAAAAAAAATAGGAAAGAAATTTTTCCTCTTTGAATTTATTTAATTTTAATTTTCATGTAATTAAGATAACTAAAATATAGTACATGGTAAAAATTAAATAAAGTGATTTAAAAATATATAATTTCTGCTTCCTTAGAATATAAAATTTTAATTTTTTGCATTCTTTTGCGCCATATCCATCCATTTTTACGACAATCGATCAATCCATTAACGAATGCTAAATTTCATTAATTTTTTATGAAAACAATGTAATTAAGTAGCAAGTTATTACCCGCACACGTTTTCTATCCGCATGATAATATTGTCTGTGTTTAATTTAATCTCCACATAAATGTGAGAATATCATTATTACCGCATTTTTCGGACTATAACAAACTTCAAATTTTTGTAAGATGATTTCTTAGAAAAATATATTTTAATATTACTAAAATAACTAAGTACTAGCAGTATTCACTTCATCTTCACTCGTCTCACTAATTTTTACCTTCATTTGAATTATTGTTTTCACTCCTTTCAAACCTCAAGTTGAAATAATGTTACTTTTGAATCATAAGATTCCTCCAAAATTTGGGTCCATTTTTCTATGTAAAAATTTGCGTAGTACAGACCGAAAAAAACAGTATATAGGTAAACAAAATCATGATAAGAGTAAAGATGGCATTAATATGATCCAACTCATTAAACATTAACTAAACGAATGCAAAACTATTAATCAAGATGTATATATATGTACATATATATATATATATATGAATTGAAATAATCACAAAACTATTTGAATAGATAAATTTTTTTTCTTAACAAACTATGAAATTCCTATTGCAACGAGTACTGCAACGCAAACAACTATCAAGAAAATTCATTTCACTTAATCTCTATTCTCGTAAAAGTGCATAAACACGAACTTGGCAACTCTAAAGACAATGTGTTTTTGCGATTGCTGCGAACGCTATTTAAAATGAAATGTCAAATAAATTCCATTCTTTTATAGTAAGAGCGTCATTAAACATTGAATTACACGTGAGAATTTTTTATTCGAAAAACAAATATATTTAACATGTAAATATTTTAATTTTATGTGGAGAAAAAGCATAAAAGTATATATTTATATAAAAGTGATCTTTTTAAGTAAATAAAAATTGAAAAATCTTCCAAATCTAACAAATATTCCGTTATACCGCTAAATCGAATCGTCGGCAATATGTGAGGTTAATAAATAAATGCGCATACATAGCTCTATAGAGAAATAGAAAATAAAAAAAAAAGACTGTGATTAACTAAGCAATCCGGGGGCAAAAAGTGTGAATGTATGAGCAAAAATTTGAAAAAAAAGAGATATAAAAGCAGAAAGGGCAGCGTCGTGAACACGTTTTTCTGCAAAGTGCGGTAAGCAAAAGTTGAAAGAATTTCAAAAAAATAAAAATATATAAATTATGTGAGAAAAGCGATTCGATATAATTAAAGTGAACTGAAAGGAATACCATTGAATGTTTTAAGGTAAATATCTAAAATCGAAATATATTTATAATGAAACGATTAATTAGTAGTTTTTCGAACTGACTAATTGAGACGAATGCTGTAGTGGGTGTGCTTTGAAAAATTCCTTGGAAATTTATATATATATATATATATATTTTTTTTTTTTTCTTTTTTTAAACAAAGTTTTTAAGCAAAAATATAAAAGTCGTAGGGGTCATTTATTAACAAAGATGATAATGATTTGAATCAAAAAAAAAAAAAAAATTCGACAATTATCTCTTTGATTACTTGGTAAGAAGGTCGTTGCACTTATTTACTGTTAGTTGCATATTGTACAAAGAAATATAATAGATTTTGTAAATAATTTATAGTGCGTTGCTTTTGAATGATGCTAGCAAGACGAAAATTTTACCCAAAAAAAAAGCCATATTTCTTGTAGTAATAAATACGGAATTGCAACGTGTCAGTCAGTGTACCTTTCATTTTATCAATTCCAAAAATAAGAGCAAATGAAAAATTTTGCTCACCAAAAAAAAAAAAAAAAAAAAACGAAACAAACCAACCAACCCATGCACTCAACAAATGGAAATTGTTCTTATATACGTGTACGCATGTATGTAAGTTATTCACAAGCATAAAATTGTTAAAATTGTACACATTTGTTGGCTTAAGTTTTTCTTGTTCTTTATTTTTCCTTTCTCTTTCGCAAACAATTTTCAACATTAATACTATACATTATATATATGTAGGTATTTTTCATTTAACCCAATTCATTCATCGGTTTGTGTAGAAAAAAAAAAAGCACATGGTTTGACGTTGCAACATAACTCTCTGGCTGTCTCTCTTTCTCTCTCTCTCTCTCTCTCTCCCTCCCTCCTTTCCTCAAATGTTTTGCTTTTGTAAAACTCTGTTAAAATCCTCTCACTAGTCAAACACATGTTTTTTACTAATTTTGCTCTTCGCGTCTAATTCACTTCTTTTTGTGTTTTCAAATTTGTGGCGGCGTTTTGTTAGAGTATCACCTATCAGCAAAAATGAAAGGTTAATAGAATTATAACGTACCAATGTGAATGATTGCCTTTACACGCACATCACATTCGATGTAAGCAAATTTAATTAATTGAAACATAATCACAACAGGTTCGAAAGGAATTTATTAAAAGAAAATAAATAAAAATTTTATATTCACTTTTAAGGGGAATCCCCTCTGCAGGCAAAAATACCTTTTGAAAATGAAAAGCACATTATTAACTGCTTGTGTGTGCGCAGCTCTTTGCTCGGGTGGCTTGAAGCAATGGCAGACAGTATCTTATTAGGTGTTTGTGTAACAATGTTGACCATTTTTTCACTTCAAAAAAAGGCATTTATTACCTAAAATTGGTATAAAAATAGTTTCCATAATTTTCTATAAGATTTTCCAATATTTTTGGCAACACGACGATATCATGTCGAAAGAACGCATAACGTTTTGCAGCAATCCACCCACGGACCCATTTCCGTGTAATGTCGAACATAAATTGGAGCATAAATTGAACGCAATTCTAAAATTTATGGGTTTTTTCTCGTTACTTAGAAATTTTAAAAGTCACAAGGTTGAAATTTTTCACATTTACTTTACGAAGCACTTCAATTATTACGTGCAAAAATGGAATTAAATCGACCATGCCCACACAAAATTGCAACTGATTAAACATTTATTTCGTTCCACTTTTTTGAGGTTTTATGCCTATTTATCATAATTTTACAACTATTTTGTTCATTTCTCAAATGAAGATATATTATCTGCCTAGAAATGGGTTAATTCTATAATGAATATGGTCGGCATCGCGGTTAATTTTTTCTTAATAATACCAACGATGATGGGTATCAAATGTAAGAGCTTGGAGAGTAAGAGGCGAAATGGACAGAATGGATTTAGATATTCTCAAGATCCGAAGAATAAGATAACTTTAAATTACATGGTTGCATTCTATTGTTGTGATGTAGAAAAATTCCGATGATGGTAATACGAAAGCGAATCGCTTTTCAATTGACCGACCTATGGATTTGGTAAAATGTAATAAGACTTCTTCCCATCAATATGATAAATGTTTTTAAATTATTTATCATTATATTAACTAATAATTATTTACAACAAATGTAAACATAATGAAATAAATATATATTTTTTTTTTTATTATATTTTAAAGTTTGACAATATACTACGATATGGACTCAAGACTTTTAAATGTTATTTATGATGATCCATTTGATGGCAATTATGCCAGTTATAGTAATGAGACAGATTTTTGGTCAAGCGGCAGCGAGTAAGTAATGAAAATTCAATATAATGGGAATCGGTTATCAAATTGCATATAAAAATATTATTTTTTAGCACAATGGGTTTGCAACTTACGGAGACCTTGCATGGTATATTACCAATAGCACCCACAGAAGATTTCCACAAGGAGAATATACAGAATTTAAATAAAAACTTGGTAGGTTTCGGAGAATTGGATTCGGAAGTAAAATTTTAAATGGACAAAAGGAAACAATTTATATTAATTGTTTTTCTATACCTTCTCGAAAATGAAACCATTTTCAGTTTAATTATCAAGATTTTGCTGAAGAACGCGTAACAGCAAATGGAGCCGTCGATTTAATAACAATCGACGATCCTATTACCGATATGTGTGCCGATATAAAGAAGGAGCGAGAAATCGATGAAAATCACGATGACGAGACTTTAGCTACATACGATCAGTGTAGTAGTAATGAGACATTTAGGACCCGCACCGACAGCTCCTCTATCGGTGATTACGAATCGCATTCTAGCGATTACGATGATGAGGTAGCAAATGATTTTGATAATTGTCCAAGTGGAACGCAGCAAATTTCGAAAGAATGTATACTACAATCGAGTGCTGATGACTTACTTTTAGAAAATTTTAATAGATTTTCACCGAAATTAACAGAAAACATTGGTAAAACACGTACTATCAGCAATAATTCGAATGTTTCCGATGTCGATGGCTTAGGTTTAAGTATTGACGCAAATAATTTTGATTTGGCCGAATTTATAACAAAAGATGATATAGGCGTAAATTCAACGCTGGACACCTTAATCATTAAAGATTCTGGCTCGATAAACGCAATTTATTTGCAACCATCAACGGTTCAGGTAATATCATCGAAACATGATGATGAATGCGATTCGGATTCGGATATTATTGTGGATATTGAGACAGTAGAAAACGATGAAAACACTGAAATGAAACCCATCCCAGAATTATTGAATCCCCGTTTACCTGCGGACTTTATAAACGAAGATGATAATGAATATGTGGATAATGTTAAAGCCGATCCTTCGTGGAGTCCATCGTACAATGGCAAGAAATTGGAACCTCCATCAAAAGAGGTAAAAAAAATGCCTTCATATATCATACAACTAATGTGTTATTAAAATTTTTAGATTAAATGTATTCCGCAAAAGTATTCAATGCAAGGCTTGAACAAAAAAAATGGGGAAAAACTGAAAGAAAAATCGTATGAATCCAAATGCAAGTCAACACAAAAATCAACTAAAGTTTTACCGAAAAAATTAAATAAACCAATAAATAGCCAAACTAATAGCAAAACATGCGAAAATACAAAATCCAAACTAGGCATAGGTATGGGCGGGAAAAATTTAGCTTTAATAAAACACGAACGCGACAGTATAGCAGAGCAAAAATGTCCAGACAAAAATTTGTCTGACCGGGATCCTAGACAAGCAGTGAAGATTGTCAAATCTGAACAAAAGTCGCCAGAAAAGTCGGTGAAAAGGAAACTTAATATCGAAGAATATAAAAAGAGACGTGAAGAACCGCAGTCAGCTAAAAATACAGCGAATAAGGACAACACCCTGGATACACATAACAAGGTGATTAAATTAGAAAAGACAATTGACGAGGATAAACGTCCTCCGTTCACCGTCGGTGGCAACTTAATAATCCCTAGCGGTCACAGCGAACAAGTGTCGTCTATCGTGAAAAGCCTTAAAGGGAATCAATGTACTACTCCAGTTGCTGATCCTATAACTGAAGCCAAGAAAAAAGTTTTACGTATGCAGGAATTAAAACGAGCTCAACAGTTACGTATTATCGATTCAACAATATCAGCTAAAGTGCCAAAAGTAACAAAACTGTTGCCATTGCGTGAAATTGTTAAAGACACACCTTACTTGAATGAAAAAGAACGCAACGAATTAAATGCAAATGCGTCAAATAAAACTCATCCTGAATATGAAGAAATTATAATTGAATCAATCGGTTGTAATACGGATATATCTATAACACCTTTATCCAAGTCAACTACAATTACTGTCAATAACGCTTCACGTTCCATACTAAAATCGACGGCATTGCTTTCTACTATTTCGAATACCTTTCAAAAAGTAAAAGCTTCAGAAAATGTGCGAATATCGACGAATTCCCTAATAACTAGTATACAGGATGTTGTTGTTAAGAAGAGTTTTCCTATAGAAAACGAAATCTTGGGTAAAGGTGAATGTAAAAATTCTGGTTTAAAAAATGTTGGTAAACCAGCTTATCATGGCGAGGATAAAATAATTATGCATCTACGTAAGGATAGAATACGAAAGTCAACCTCTACAGTTGGTGCACAAACCGATTTGCAACCAGAATTTCCGCCATTGTCATTGCTGCGAAGCAGTCACAAACGTAAGTCGCGTGGTCGACTGCGAAAACATGGCAAACGTAATTATCGGAAAACTCAACACCATAGCCCATCTGCTTCGTCATCTATTTCTGCGGATTCGTCTCCTTCGCAACGTTCAAATAGTTCCAAGTCCTCGGAGTTGTCACGGGCGAATTCATGTCGATCGCGAGATGAAAGCTACTCTTCTTCGGTGGAGCGAACGCGTATATACGATGGTGCTGTTGGCACGGGTGGATATTCGTCTCGCAGCAGTCGTCGTCATCGTAGCTCGATTAGTTCCTCTTACTCTGAATCAGTCGATCAAGTTGCAAGTTATCGTCGACATCGCCGCACCAGCTATAAGCAACGTTCACGCAAACGTTCTCGTTCACCTTACACTTCTAGCACAGACACATCCGACTACGAACGTTCTCACAGTCCTACCTATTCAAGACGTTCGCGTTCACGTTCGAATTCGCGTCATCGTGTTCGATCAAACTATAAAAGCAGTAATACAAGCAATTGTTTTAGTAATAACGTTCCCCAACCTGCGGTGGAAGAGCGTCGCATTGTCTACGTTGGCCGCATCGAACAGGAAACTACCAAAGAAATTCTAAAACGTAAATTCTTACCTTATGGCCACATCAAACATGTTAGCATACATTACAAAAATACTGGGTAAGGGGTGCATATTGATTCGAAAAAAAAAAAGAAAAGGATTTTAAAATGAAATGTTTTTCTTAATTCAGAATGAAATACGGTTTTGTTACCTATGAACGGGCTCAGGATGCTTTTGATGCAATTGATAATAGTAGTCGCGATCCGCAAATTAAAATGTACGATGTAAGTTTCGGTGGTAGGCGGGCATTTTGTCGTGCTTCTTACGCTGACTTAGGTAAGTTATATAATGAAGTGATTCTTCAGCAATTTACTTAATTCATTTCTTAATCTAATTGCAGATAATGCTGGCATTAATTCCTATCAAGCCTATGTATATCCAAAGGCTACAACTAATCTACCTAAAAAGGAAGATTCATTTGAAGTTTTACTCATGAAAATGAAGGCTAAGCTTAATGCTAACAAATCATCTGAGAGCGTTACTACTAAGAGCAGTAAAATTTGACGAATATATTTACGGATGAAAAAAAGAGTTAAAATTACGTTTTGGTTTTAAAGTTCATTATAAATTTAAACTTTTTCCTCCCCCCGAGACATTTTGTTAGTATATTTTCAATTTGATTTTCTACTACTTGTCTTTCACCTCTTATTGATACCCACATTAATTTGCGTAAATTTAGAAGATTGTATTTGCAGTAAGTGCACTGGCCAATAATGTAGATGATTTGTGCAATCAAATAGCTTTAAATTTAGTCCAACTACACAACTAAGATTGAAGAAAGAAACTTTCTAACCATAATCCATAATCGCTAGACTTAATCGCTATACTACCGATTTGTCTTGACGGCTAAGGCATAGGTGATTATGTTCTCGACATTTTCCACCAAGTTCTAGTTTTCTTTTTCAATTATGTAGTGTTTTTTTTTTTTTTGCTACTCAAGAAACATTTGGTCGCGTCAATCAATATAAAATCAGACGATGTATCATTAAATCCCTTTTTCATGCAAAAGACTTCACTTGACAAAAGACAGACTTGACTTATTCTATAAATAAGAGAAAGCTATCGGCATTTTATGTCAGTAATCGGTTAGTTGATAAATAAAGTGATGTCTCAATAATTTCCAGATTAGTTATATATGTGCACAAAATCATAACAACAAAAAAAATAAAAATAAAAAATTCTGTATTATTGCGCGGTGTACTTAGCAAAACGATTTCTTCTATTTTTTTTTTTTTTTTTTTTTTTTTTTTTTTTTTTAATATGTAAGTGTTGAGAGAAAAGACTTGAGGTTGGCCGCGAAATTCGAAAAGATTGAAAGGATATTTTTGCCATGATTTTAGCGCTATTTTCAAGTATCAAAGAGTAGTCCTTTATGTCTTCGTTTGTTTTATTGATACTATCTATAGAAATGTGATATTATGGGATGTGTATTAAACAAACAGTACATACACACGTTGATTGATGAGAATTATTTGTTAAAGATAAGCTTCCTTATTATTAATATCCCTATATATATATAAAAATGTTTTTTATTTGCTTTCCCTATTTCAAAAAATTTTTAAAAAGTATGCAAACAAACACCATTAACAAGTGGAAAATGATTAATTTGCAATTTAGAATAATTTTTAAAGTTTTTTTTTAGTCAATGCAATACTTTTACGAAATTATTTCAAATATGCAAAACCAACTGTCGTTTTTTTCTACAGAAATTGGATTTGCGTTATTGAATTAAAAATATTTTTTTTTTTTTTTTTTTTTTTTTTGTATTTTTTTATGTTGATTTTAATTACGAGTCATTCATTTCAATCTGAACTGAAAACAAGAAGAAGAAATCAACCGAAACTTAACTGTTGATAATAAACCTTTGATATTAGAACGTAATTCATTTTTTATATTTATATTTTCTCAATATTTGTTTTTATATATATGATATAATTTTCGTCTCAAATTTGCGAGTAGAAAAAAAATGAAAATTCATTAATTTCTACATATTTTTCGAAAAATTAAGGAATTAGTATAAGTGAGAGAGAAAAATTTAAAAAAAAAAAAGTAAAGTGAAATTAATTAATGTACAATTCAATAGAAGCAAACAAAAGTAAATCTAAACTTTACATTATTATTCCTTACTTTTTATACTAAATTTTATAATAAATTAATCTCTTACAAAATATTGCATTGAAATTGCTTCCTACACAGACAAATTTGGAATTTTCTTTAATGGGTCGTGGAGAATAAAATGAAAATCACTGTGAAAAGTAATCAACAATATGAAGCTTTCTTCATGTTCTTCTTCTTCTTCACTTTTTATCTATTTTTAATTGTACATTAAAATTGTGCCTAATCTAATCAAACCAATAATACTATTTTACAGGTACGTCTGCGGTCGGATATATTTTCGTCATGGAGGAAATTATCGAAGAAGGATTTCTTCTCGTTTGTATTGCTTTTCCAATAAATGAAAGTGATAGATAAGAATTACGTTCTATCAGAAAAGGGCCATATAAGAATTTAAAGATGACTGTATCGAGTGCTAACGAAGATAGAAAAAGTAGAGTAGTGGCATGAAAAACGATAATTTCGGATATTAAGATTTTTTATCAATTAGAATTTTTGAGCTTGAAATCACAAGCCCATCACATCACACTGATGGTTCCCATAAATCTATTATTAAACAGACAGCAGGAGTTTCTAACTATTTATTGAAAAATGCATATTCATTTAACTAAATAGAAGTCCGATTGTAATTCATTGAAAATATTCAATGAAAAATTTTCATTCATTTGATTGCACTCAAAAGTGTCTGCTGTCTTATTCTTATTTTCTAGGTCAACATTTGTTTGTATATGCTCTCATGCAGACAAGCTTAAGCATGTAAATTTTGTTGCATATTTATAAAGCATAGTAATTAAAACGAAACAATAGTGTATATACAAGTTATCGTAAAAAACAGCGTGCTTGTCTTGTCTTAGCATTAAATTAACACAAAAATCGCTAATTTTAACAGAATACTTTGATATTTTACAACATTGTTTGCTCACGCGATCGTGTTTGCTTCACTTTGAAAAGAACAGTAGCCATTAAAGCTCTCGTAATTAAAGGACGTTTTTGCAAAAAATATTAATAAAATAAATTTAAAAATAATTTAAAAAAAAAAGCAATTTCGTTAAATCAAATCACTATTTGATGTTACTCTCCATTTTATAAATACTTGTATTATAACTCGCAAAATTTCGTGCAAATTCTTGAAAAAGCGATGGCGGTCTGTTGCAAACAGATAAATTTTGCACAAACGTAAATTTGCAAATCGGGCAGGAAAGAAAGAACATTATCTTTTCAACGCCATTGAAAAGATATCGAAGGCATATTGGACATGTCCATGCAAATTGGAAGCTAGTTTTAAACCGGTAATTAAAATGTAAGGCAAAAATTTCGTGTAAACGTTTGTTATTGTATATTTCGGTTGCGGCATATAAATACGTTTTAGGAAATAAGTAGTGACATTACGGGTACTCATATGAAAATTTGCTTAAAAGTGTATGTGTGCGTGCATCGGGAGTTGCTAGTAAATCTTATGTGTGATAAAGTAAAGTAAAAACAGTTGGTAGAGTTATATGAAAGTATGTGCGTAAGTATATCGGTCGAGTGCTATTAATAAATTTAATGTGTGATAGAGTTCAATAAAATTCTTCAAGGTATATGTCGAATACAAAAAACAAGGCGTACTTAGACGGTTAATGTAATAAGTAAGTAATATTTTTTTTAACTTTTATTCAAACATTTCATGTTACCCTATCTCCATATAATGTATACATTTATTTTATTAAATAAGAATCTTCGAAGGGGAAGACTTTGACAAGTTTATAGTAGTAGCAAAGAATTGCTTTAAACATGAATCCATTCTTTAGAATGGATGACCACTATAAGGGTGCAGAATAGATTAAATTAAAGCTTAGATAGAATCGCCGACATACAACATCAGAGAGAGAGAGAGATGGACGGAGAGAGATGGATGTAGATATAATGGTCGCAATTATAGCGCGCGTAGCGTGTATTGAACAATTTGCAAGGGTGTGTAAACACACAAATTTTCAATAAACAGCAGAGTTATATGTTTGTTATATTGTTTTTATATGAAAAATATCGTCATCTCCTTGTTACTTGTGCATGCATACGCAAATAGTCATTTTGCTGACAAATAGATATTAGCCTATGTCGTCAGATCATTGCAACGACAATTTCTTTGAAAAGTTAGTCTCAAATTCTTAAAATTAACTTTTGCATTTTTAATATGAATTTGTGTCTATATTTGCGACTCAACTGTACACAAGAATGTGGGTTTATTATGGTCGGAAAAACTGTGCATATATAGAAAATTAATTGGTATAAAACATGCAAGTTGTAAAGGCTTTCAAAAGGACAAATGTTATTTAACGCGCACTCAAGTGACTAGTTATGGAAAAATAAACCATGTTTTTAACGAAGAATGGGGTCACATTGATTTTGGCAAAATGTGTGCAAAACATACAAAAGAAAACTTCAGAGACAATATAAAACATAGCATAGAATCCGGAATCGATTTAGGCATGCCCGCCTATGCGCCCGTGTTATATTTGCTATGAACATTCTTTTGATGGTAGAACTCAAAATACGGGCTTCACGTTTAGAACAAAACATAAGCAGTTCTTGTACACTGGTTTGTATTTAAAATGAATCCAGAGGAATGACATGCAAAATTTAAATGGGCGTATATCCACTGTGATAATTTTAATCTCTGTACTTTTTAGAAAATTTAAAAGCTGACCAACAATAACTTGAAGAGAAAAATAGTTTCGAACAAAGTTAATATTAGAATTTGTTACGAAAGCATAAAACTAAACTTAAGAGAAGGTTCTAATCCTTAGCTATATACGAAGTATTTCACGTTTGTAGAAAACGGATTTTAAAAGAGAAACTTGGTAAGATCTCCTGGCTGTTCTAGGTTCATGTCAGAAAATATTAAATTTTCATTACATTTATACCCATACGTATTAAACTAAACTAACTACCATTTTATTTATTTATGTGGCCTCAGTATTTACAAAATGAACTACACTTTAAGATCACTCAGTAAAGTCTTTTTCATATCGCATTTACATTAGCTTAAGTAAATACTATTTGAAAATGATGCGATGAATGACTGTCATGATGGGCGGATTTTTAAATTTGAAATTTAAGATGTTCCGACCATGCATACTTTCAGACACTTATTGGAGATATTGCGGTGCCTTGGTTAAGCACAATTAGCAGTTCGAGATGAAAAAAAGGCATTTTATTACAATTCTGTCACAGTTGAGAAATATTTAATGAAACCCCTGTATTTTCTATACATAAACTTCAGAATGTTTGTTTGCGTATCTATAAAAACAAAAAAAAAAAAAAACAAAAATCTTTAGTTCGTATTTTACTCAATGAAATGAAATACATCATGCGCAGTCACTGCTTTCGTTAGTGACATCAAAACAAAATTTAACATATCAAAATATATTCAGTTATCCTTTAAAACTCTTTTATGAAAGTTCACGTAGCGGATAACGTGTGTGGATTTACTTAAGAAAACCCAAAAAAAAAAAAAAAAACAAGAAAGAAAACAATAGATGTGGATTTCCACAAGAAATATAAGTAAATATTTACTTTAAAGCAATTAAAAGTTCGACAATAAATTGCTGAGATATCACGCATATATGTGAGCAGCAAACTTGATGATGATAAAAATGAAATTCGCTTTGCTCCAATAATTCCAACAACAATTTTTTTTTAAATTGTATTTGATTTCAATTAAAAAAAAAAACACAAAGAACATATATTAATTATATTATGTATGTAATATATACATATATATATATATGTCTTAAAGTGGGTTAAAATGAAAACACTAGGATTCTATGGGTTTGTTTGCTTATGGTAAACGGATACAAGTAAATGTTTTCATTTCTGCGAATTTCATATTAAACAGAAAGCACTAGTGCGTATAAGTGACAATTAAATGGATTTTAGTTTATTGAATCGCTGTTGAACTACAGCCAACAACAACAGCAACAATAATAGCATACCCATGACAGAGAGAGTATCTTGCCACAAAGAAACTTTACATTTCTTGCAATTTAACGAACAAGTAGTTGAACGAACTTTTTGGCAAAGAACTTTACGTACGTACGTGATAAGCTTATAAATAGATGCAGGGAGTTTATAACGCATTTCTATATAGAATGAATAAAAGACACTATGTAGTTGAAATATTAGGATTCTAAATTTATAAAAAAGGAGTTAGGGAATTGATATTCCGGTTTTAGAGTAAATCTGAGATCGCTAACACCTCAAGCAAGCAATTGTGAAGCTTCCGCTCAACTCAACCGCTTTATATCTTAAGGCAAATCTGATGCGCTTTTTCCCACGCGGCTCTTATGCGGCTCTTTTGATAAATATTTTTTATCCTAAATTTATTTCCGATCTCCGAACTAATGTGAAAGCAATTAAGGAAGGTCTGCGATCTGATCGCAGCTTTTGATGTGTATTTTAAGATATTCCAGATTAAGTATATCCCAATCCCCATCCCTATTTTTTCCTCGAGAGAATATTACTATTTAGCATAAAAAAGTCTTTTTACTACGTCTCTATTGGATCACTTTCCTCCTACCCTATACCTAAAGGATACTAGTGGATTACGTAGCAGACAGAGTAATTTAGGGGCTTAACATAAGTAAATCGTGATTTTCTTTGGTAAATTGTAATTGATTTACTTTCTGTAACCTACACCTCTTGTGGCATAGGGTATATTAAGTTAGTGCGGGCGTACGTAACACGCAGAAGGAGTTCAAAAAGACCGCTCTTTTATTATACCGATTTATTCAGAATCATAATCTAAGCTTGTCTGTCCATGAAAATTCTTGTTTAGGATACAAACAGCAATTTTTTAATCCCCCTCTCATATAGCGAAAAATGAAGTTTGTACGACAAAAAGGTATACTTTTCAATGCTTCATCATGAAAATTATATCATAATAGTAATTTAACATAAAAATAATTAACTGCATCAAATTTGGACCAACTCGGCATATTTTTGGATCTTACCATAATAAATATTTTCATGAAAATTGTGTCTTTGCAGAGCAGGAAAGTCTAAGTCTTAATTTGAAAATTTAATTTCATACAAAAATAAGAATTGCGTTAGATGTTGTAGTGTAGTGTAGGGTATTTAATTATCAGCCTTGCTCGACTACAATGCTCTTACTTGTTTCTATTCACTATTACTTACTATTGTTAGATTGCGTGGCATAAATCTATATTTTTGATCGACGCAGCTGCGTATAGGGTGCACTAGTACTTGTCGTTCTCCTCCCTATTGTCAGCTGAAAAACTTGAAATTGTTTGCAAACAAGATAATAAATAAATTTAATATACACGTAGTGATGTGAGTTCTTTTGAGTTCTTAAGTAATCTCTACTGAAAAGGTTATTGATGCTTAAAAAAGGAAATACGTTACATTTGAATGCCTTTTAATATATAGATTCATACGTTCCCTATGTGCAAGTAAGTTTTAGTTTATGTAACGGATGTAGGATTTCATGTTTCAAATAATAAATTTATGTTTCCGCAGGATGAAAGGTAAACCTTATATCATTTTTATTATTGAGTCAAACTATTCACAGGAGGATTTTGAATTTTTCATAAGTAACATGAGCTATTGCGTGTAGGATGAGAGATTCCTAACAAGAGTTCTGCGTGATAAACAAATTTCTTGAGATTCAATCTAAGTTGGTCTCGTCATTTCGGGACGACACGCTGAAGATTTCATTGTTTGTCACGCACGTAGGGCAATAAAAGTAAACCGTAAACATTTACACTTAATTTGGTTTAGTTTAGAAATAATACAATTAAGATTTTCATGTTATGTCAGTTATTTGCTTGCGGCTGCTAAGCTTGCTTATCCTATTTTTCACATATTGCTTTTTTCATGCTTAACTGTCAAATTAACATGTGTATAACAATTATAATGTATGTGTGGCAATCAAAGACAATATGTTTTAAATTATACCATAATTGCTCTCATGTCATTTATTTCATATGTACATATGTAAGTAAGATATCCGTCTACAGCAGGTACAATGAGCTTATAGAACAAATATGTGGCGCCAGCTTTTGCAACAAACGTAAATGCATATGCGCCCCAACCGCCGTCCTTTAGTCCGTGTATGCAATGGTATTTTAATAAAAGGAAAATTACTCTCATGTATACAATAACTTTTCCTTTTTAATGGTTTTCCGGGCAAAAAAAAAAAAAAATGCATAAGGCTTTGGTCGCAGGTTATACTGTCTATTATTATCAACTTCGTGATAGGATACAAGCTCGTTTATAAGTCTTGGAAATGTGAAAGCTATCTAGAAGACAGCTGCCTAAATTAGCCTCATCTGTCTCACCATTCAGGAGAGGTTTTGTTTTTATCCTTTTAAAAATTTTTAAATTTTTCTTTGAAATGAATAAAATTTTTTTTCTCTTTGCATACATCTTGAGTTTGATTGGTGAGCATAAGGTTTTATTGTCAGATTTTTGGAGTAATCCACAGATTGCTTTTGACTCGGTGCAGCCTTCACGGCCTGAGTCTAGATAGATTTGGATTAGATGTACTTTGGTATGCACAGTGGTAGGATTAAAAAAAAAGGCTTATTAAAGCAGAGTTGCCCGAGGAATAGCATGTCTTATGAGGTAT